GCTGAGGAAATACATCAACTTCGCGCTGTGGATCGGCTTTCACCATGGACGAAGCGGAATCCAGCCCGGGGTCGTCACAAATGGTTGCCGCAAGCCCACCGGCCGCTCCTTCGTCGAATCCGCCGGCCGCGCCGTACTCAAGCCCGCCGGCCGTTCCTCACTCAAGCCCGCCGGCCGGTCCTCACTCAAGCCCGCCGTGTGTGATGCTGTGTTTTGTTGTGAAAGCAAAACTACTTTGTTTGGCCTTCCAAAAGAGGACACAACTAGAAATCTGTGGTTAATGTTTTTGTCTCGTCGCTCCATCACAGTATTGTAAGGGGCGTAACATTACCGTCACACGCTTGAGGAATTCGGCCAATCACAAAGCACTGGATAGCTGGCCAATCAGAGCACACCTCGCTTTTCAGACCGATGAGCTTTGTAAAAATCGATGCGTTTCAGAAAGGTGGGGCATTGAGCAGAAACAATAATGTAATATGGAAAAAAATTGTTTTTTTTAACCTTAAACTGCATACACACATTTCATTACACCAAATACACAAAATAATGTTATTTTTAGCAACATCATATGACCCCTTTAAATGCATAACTGATACATGATTTGAGATATGGTGAAGATTAGTTAAAAATGACCATTATTCTTTGATGCATGTCTACTGACAAGGTATATTAACTGTACAATGAAGACAAATAAATAGTCTAAAGGCAATAAAAAGTATTTAAATACATCTGACTTAAACTAATGGAATTATTATGGACCCTCATAAATCCATTAACTCTCAGTTTACGTCCATTGTTATAAAAACAGCTCAAAAGTTTGGCTAACATGATAAAGACAAAAAAAAAAAAGATATTTGTAAGAATGACCTGCACTACAACAACAACGGGTGACGTCGGTAGGAAAAACAGGAAAATCTCGATCACAATCACTCACTCCCAGAGTAGAAACTTTAAAGCTTTATAAACAGATAAAAACTTACCTTTAGAAAAATATCAGCGCGGTCAGTTTGGCTTATTATAGGTGATTTCTTTAATACATCGGGAAGAATTGTACATCGACCGGAGACAAAGCTTCACACAGCTCCGTACCAACCTGTTTTACCTGTCCGACCCGCACCTGGATCAACTTTTCCGCTTTGCGTAAACGCACCTCCCACTGCGCCTACGTCACATACATGACTCCTCCCAGTGGCTAGAAGGGATACAGCAAAAACCGGAAGCTAACAATAAATGGCATTTTCTACATATTAGATTTTATTAACGTTTACACACACCCCAACCCTAAACCTACCCCTTACAATAATGCAAAAATAGTAATTATTGTTGTACAGTGTGAGAAAAAAATACGCTATATTGATGTGCGCATGCCCAGTAGTTTTTGCTGTATCCCATCTAGCCTTAACCCAGTTCCACTTCTGTCCGGTGGATTGTTATAATGGTTTATTATAGAAAAATATATAAATATATTTTTTGTAAGTCTTAAACATTGTTATTTATTTACTAAATCTCATATTCATTAATATAAATTTGTTGTAAAAAAATATATACTATTTAGACTACAACTAGTTTCTATGAAAACATTGTCACATAGTTTTCTACAGAGTAGTAAATGATGTCCATGTTGCACTTATACATTGTTTAGCAGGGGCCTGTTTCATAAAACAAGTTTACCAAAAAAAAACAGGTTTATTTCAGAAAGTCTGGCTTATTGTCAGTTGATTTGATTCAAAATAAGTCAGACTAACTGAAATAAGCCTGGCTTATTTGGTAAACATTTTTATGTCAAATTATTTAAATATAACGACCTTTATTTTAAATAAATTTAAGACAATCTGTGTCTCCCTTGCTAATTTACCGAGGTCCTCTAGTGAGCCCTGAGGGCCCCTTATACACTTGAGTCAATTTAAGTCATGGGACCTTTTTTTGTCATTGATTCAGGTGAAGTTCGCATTCATATGAACGTTGCATGCCAAATTTGCATAAATTGAACCTGACTTTCTGAAACATTTGATCGATTGCTCTTTTACCCTATTACAACCCTGGGCAGTTTAGAGCCCGCCCTCTGTACCCTCGTCGCCTACCCGGATTGGTTGTGCGATTCCTGTAGGGACAGCCGTCTGTTTCTTTGTGCTAGACTCCCCATAGCCGCGAGGAGGTAAATATGAATAATATTTTTTATAAACAGATCGCAAGACGGCATATGAGACTAACGCATAAAATGTTTAATATTTTATGTCATAATTGTAATTAATGGTAATGAAGAATTGAGCTTTTTTGGAGTTTGATAAGCATAGAGAACAGCTCGTGTCGCTAGCAGTAGCATATTAGCTAACCAGTGCATTAGCGCAACAGTAATTGTCCTATTTCTTCATAGTTTAAAAATTTGCAATTGTGAACGTTTAATAAAATACTTTTTTTTAACAGTAGCTGCGATTTGGTGCTGTGATCCTAAATATGTGCGGTAACGTTATAGCGTTTACCTGCCATCTCTATTAACACCGCTAAACTTGTAGTTACATTATATTCAGGTCGGTTATTTATTGCGTTGGTTTCTGATAAAAAGAGTCAGTTTGCTTCAAATACAACTTTATTTAGGTTGAGTACTGCCGATGTGAGCATGTTTTGATGACGGTATGCTCACGGTCTATTGAGCAGAGGAATTATGCCAAAATTTCGTAAGTGTAGCAAGCTGTACAGTGAAAATGAATATACAACATTTACCCTCATCTCTAATCTCCTCTCATACCTGAACAGCTTGTGTCTCTCCAGCAATGCCTTTTTGTTCAGAGCAGGTGCACAAGTGCGTCATGAAACTTCTGCAAACCTCATGTTGTTTTGAGCATTCACAGCCATTGGTACATGTGCTCTGTGATAGAAAACAGTACGTTCGTTATGTTCGTTATAGGACCAAACTGTGTGGAAGGAATCTAAGTTGATCATTATTCATCTTTAAACATTTATGAATTATGACAGAGACCCACAGATGTATAAATGGAGAGCATTTTGGATTGTCGCTGTTCATATGTTCTGATCACCTTTTGTTTGTATATCTACCTTCAGCAATTGTTTCCTCATTTCAGGAGAGGCTTCGTTCATCTGTAATGCTGTCCAATAAGAAGTCAGACCCAGGTTCCTCCTCTTCTTCAGGGGGTAACGGTGGAGACCGTGCTCCTGAAACCCTCTCTGCTCCTCTGGCTGCTCCAGCCGGTCCCTCTGGCCCAGGTTCAGCAGATGTGAAAAAGAAAGAGAGAGCTTCTCCAAGTGGAGAACCAGGTGGACCTCCTCTTCTGCACCCTCCTGGACCAGGAGGGGTTGATCAAGATTCTGCAGAGGGACGCAGGACCAGTCGCCGTAAAAGAGCAAAGGTAAACATCTCTATGAACTTTTCCTGTTCTGAGAACAGGGATAATTGAGCCAGGCCTATATATTTAGCTGAGTCAACTGAGACAGAAAAACTGAGTAAAGCTAAATAATTTATTGACCCTAAATAATATGCTACTTTTTTTTGCTCTGAAATTTTAAATCGCTCTAATTACTAATCTGAATACATACTAGGCCTGGATTTTGACACAAATTTCACAATTCGATTCGATTATCCTTCACAAGCTTTCGATTAGATTCCGATTTTGTTTTGATTCAATATTTTGGATGTATATCAGGTACAGGACATGGCAAATTTTCTCAAGGAAAAAAAAATCTCTCAACTAATGCTGTAAAATATACCTGAGAGTCAGTAATATGGAAGGTTGAAATTTGCTGATTTGTAAACAAACACTTAAAATATACTCAAAGTTTTTCTAATATGCAAGGGTTAGTTCACCCAAAAATAAAAATTAGGCTGCGTTTTACTCGCCCCCGAGGCATCCTTGGTGTATATATGACTTTCTTATTTCAGACGAATCCAGTCGGAGTTATATTAAAAATTGTCTTTGCTCTTTCAAGCTGTTTAATGGCACTCAGCGGGTGTTGCATTGCTTCAGTCCAAAAGAACTTAAATAAAAAGCGCCCATCCATTAAAAAAATGTCTCACACGGCTCGGGGGGTGAACAAAGACCTCCTGAAGCGATTCGATGCATTTTTGTAAGAAAAATATCCATATTCAAAACGTAATAATCACTTATTTATGAATTATGACAGAGACCCACAGATGTATAAATGGAGAGCATTTTGGATTGTCGCTGTTCATATGTTCTGATCACCTTTTGTTTGTATATCTACCTTCAGCAATTGTTTCCTCATTTCAGGAGAGGCTTCGTTCATCTGTAATGCTGTCCAATAAGAAGTCAGACCCAGGTTCCTCCTCTTCTTCAGGGGGTAACGGTGGAGACCGTGCTCCTGAAACCCTCTCTGCTCCTCTGGCTGCTCCAGCCGGTCCCTCTGGCCCAGGTTCAGCAGATGTGAAAAAGAAAGAGAGAGCTTCTCCAAGTGGAGAACCAGGTGGACCTCCTCTTCTGCACCCTCCTGGACCAGGAGGGGTTGATCAAGATTCTGCAGAGGGACGCAGGACCAGTCGCCGTAAAAGAGCAAAGGTAAACATCTCTATGAACTTTTCCTGTTCTGAGAACAGGGATAATTGAGCCAGGCCTATATATTTAGCTGAGTCAACTGAGACAGAAAAACTGAGTAAAGCTAAATAATTTATTGACCCTAAATAATATGCTACTTTTTTTTGCTCTGAAATTTTAAATCGCTCTAATTACTAATCTGAATACATACTAGGCCTGGATTTTGACACAAATTTCACAATTCGATTCGATTATCCTTCACAAGCTTTCGATTAGATTCCGATTTTGTTTTGATTCAATATTTTGGATGTATATCAGGTACAGGACATGGCAAATTTTCTCAAGGAAAAAAAAATCTCTCAACTAATGCTGTAAAATATACCTGAGAGTCAGTAATATGGAAGGTTGAAATTTGCTGATTTGTAAACAAACACTTAAAATATACTCAAAGTTTTTCTAATATGCAAGGGTTAGTTCACCCAAAAATAAAAATTAGGCTGCGTTTTACTCGCCCCCGAGGCATCCTTGGTGTATATATGACTTTCTTATTTCAGACGAATCCAGTCGGAGTTATATTAAAAATTGTCTTTGCTCTTTCAAGCTGTTTAATGGCACTCAGCGGGTGTTGCATTGCTTCAGTCCAAAAGAACTTAAATAAAAAGCGCCCATCCATTAAAAAAATGTCTCACACGGCTCGGGGGGTGAACAAAGACCTCCTGAAGCGATTCGATGCATTTTTGTAAGAAAAATATCCATATTCAAAACGTAATAATCACTTGGATCTGGCTTGCGCTCACTGTTTGTTAACGGAAGCAGTTTCGGGCGGATGACGTATGAGGTCAGCTTTGCACATGCACAGCTCAGAAGTGGAAACGCAGCGGAGAGATCAAAACAAAACAATGGTCAAAAATTAGAAGTACAAAACAAGGATTTGTAAAGAAGAATGTCAGAGGATTTCGATATAAACCAAGAGGAAACTGGTGTTACTTTGCTAAAGTAAGGAAACTTTGCTTCCTTTGATCCTGTAAACAAACGTTGGTTTTCACGAGACTCACCGGCGCATGCGCAACGCTGTCCTGATACATCATCCGCCCGGAGCTGCTTCCGTGTACAACTGTTGGCACAAGCTAGATTAAAGTGATTATTACATTTTGAATATGGATATTTTTCTTACAAAAACGCATCGATTCGCTACAGGAGGCCTTTGATAACCCCCTGGAGCCGTGTGAGACACTTTTTTTATTTTTATGGATGGGCGCTTTTTATTTAACTTCTTTTGGACTGAAGCAATGCAACACGCGTTGACTGCAATGATAGAGCTTGAAAGATCAAAGACCATTTTTAATATAACTCCGACTGGATTCGTCTGAAAGAAGAAAGTCATATACACCTAGGATGCCTCGGGGGTGAGTAAAACACAGCCTAATTAACATTTTTGGGTGAACTAACCCTTTAAAGTTATAATACTAACTTTAACTTTAAATCATATGATTCTATTTCTATTCCAATTAATTTTTTGAAATATTTAAATGGTGGCTGTCACAAAAACTTGATGGATTTATTCAAACGAAATTATAAAAATTAGCGAAGCACCGAATGTTCGGCAACTGAAATTATTCGGCTGAAAATAGGGAAAAAAAATATTTCGGTGTTCGGCCGAATAAGTGAAAAAGGCTGAATAATATGTACCGAACTAGGGATGTAACGATATGAACATTTCTTATCACGATAATAGTGACCAAAATGATCACGGTTATCAGTATTATCACGGTATTGTTAAAATGTGCTGGAGATGTTAAAAAAGTACCAACACATAAATCACTTCAAGTTTTATATTTAAAAATCAACAAACAACAAATAAAATTAGTTTTTGTTTGCATAATCACTAAAACAATAACATTACCAATGATGTTCGGATTTTAAATGACAACAGTTTAATAGCATGTTGAAATATCTAATGTAAATGTTCAAATAAAGCTTTGAAAAAGTTTCATAAAAAGGTAAACCTCACATTTCAGCCTTTAAATAAAGAAAAACTGAATTAGAGCTGTTTCCCGTAACCTCCGTGGACAAAGCAGTATTGCGATTAAGAACACTTCCTTTAGGTATTACATGGAGCGAAGATGAAAACAAAATGCCATCGAATCGTTTCTGAAGACAGTCAGAACCTTCAGAGGTACATTCATATAAATAATTCATTCATATATTCATTTGTATAATTCCCTTAGCACTCTTTTAAAACCTCCCAGCTTTTCCGCCCTGTTTTCACTCAAAACAAAACTACTTTGCTGCTGTGCGCACGTGAGACTGTTACTTAAAACTGTGCTTTATGCTGGACAGTATTTATTTATCGCGAGTTGTTCAAATTGTGGTAATCTAATACGGTTTTAATGATAATTAAAAGATGAAACAGTAATACTAACCTAGAGGAATTTTATCACGATTTATCGTCAGACCGGTAATCGTTACATCCGAAAAGTATACCGAACAATGACTAACGCGATCAAATAGGGGCTCGCACTAATGCAGCAAACATGTCAGCAGTGTGAAAATATTTAAAACTATCAGAAAAAGATGCAGAAATCAGTACAAGCATAAAGAACCGACAGCGAGAGACTGTTTAGTGCTGCATCACATGTCTCTGATGAGAAGAAGAGATGCTCGTGGTTAGGCTACTGTATGATGATTGAAATCGCGAAATGACCTCAAATGATTAGTAAATAAACTGCAGAATGTTATATTTTCTAATGCACGCATGAATTGCATGTATTCTGACAGCACTGCACAAGCTCGCGGCACTATCTGCTTGTTAGCCAGGGTTCAAAGTCCAAAGCGCGAGGAAAATCTGCGCTGAAACTGTGTTACTCGTCAGTTGCTCAGTAACATTTTTGTGAATTTTTTTAAAGGCATGTGACAATGTGATACGTGCGACAAACATCTTCCCAAATTCATAATAAGAATAATTTATAAATCTGCATGCTGTTGTCAACAAAAAGAAGCACTGAGATCTTCCTTGTGGGTTTCTGCCAAAATGAAAGCAGAGAAAAGGCAATAACTCCATCAACATTCATAAATGATAGTATTGTAATTTTACTGTTGTTCTGTAAAATAAAATAAAAAAGTAAGACAATAATAATGATGATAATAATTACCCTACAACAGCTCTATTAATACATTTATTATAACATTCACACATAGTGTTCAAATTGGAATCTGTAATATATTGTAATGTTTTAAAAGAATTATCTTCTGCTCAGCAAGGCTGCCTTTATTTGTACAGTAAAAAATACATGCCTGATTCTCAAAGTCTCAAAAATGACCAAAAAATATTATTTTACTAACTTATTAACTTTAAGTTAAATTGTGCTTTGTTGGTATCATGTCTGCTAGAATGTTAAAAAATGTTCAGTGTTAAGTAAATATTTTTAAATAGTTGTTTTGTAATTGATTTTTTATTTGAAAAGCAGGACAAAACAGTAAAAAGCACATTTTGGCTTTTTAATT